GACACCCAGCACCCTGGGGAGCCGCAGGCAACGCCTCCCCCCAGCTATGAAAACATCAGCATCCGAGGGGTCTGAGCAGGCGGAGGGGGGTGGGCTGGGGCTCTGCGGGTGGCTGCCCGGTCCTTCAGCTTTACACCGAGCCCCATCCTTCGCTGGGGTGAGAGGAGGGTGGGCAAGGGGGAGGAAGGCAGAGGGGTCCATCTCTTCCTGAGCCGTCAGTCCAGGGCTGTTGGGATTGTGGGTCCCGTGGGCGATGTGTTCAGTGCAGCGGGGGTAACGGGCACGTTTGGAAGCCTTTGTCTTTTTAATAAAACCACTGCTGGTTGCAGCCGCTTCACATTCCCTGCTCTGAGCATCCCTGGAGGGCTCGTGTCAGGGGCTGCCCACCCAGAGCAAGAGCTGGGGAATAAAAACCTCAGGAAAGAGGGATCTGGCCATAGAAAAAACTGCTCCATGCCTCCCTGTTCGCTCCTCTGCCTTTCCAATGCCCCTTCCAGCCCTATCTCCATCCCCTCCACCTCGCTTTCCTGCACACCGACCCCCACGCCTCACTTCATGGGTTTGGAGATGTTCAGTGGCCCGTGCATGCGCTCGGGGCAGCCAAGTGCACTTGGCATTTCAGGCAGAGTCCTACAAACAGACCCTGAGTGGCTCACCCCCCTCCCGGCCACCACGGATGGCTTTGCAGCCTTGCCCAGAGGAAAGGCCAACCTCATCGGGGGCTGCTGCCAGCTGCTCCATCCCATGGAAATAATGGGCTGCCCTGGGCCCACTGTGGACCTGCAGAGCGACCGTAATGTATTATTTATAATGCAATATATTATTTTTCATAAGCCAGGTACAGGCTGTCCCACACAGGCAAGCAAGAGGCTGAACGGAAGGCTGAAGCCACTGCTCCTGCGTGGCTGTTGGGTGTGGACTGGGAAGGGGGCACCTTTTCACACCCCTGCTCCCTCTCAAGCAAGCACAGGGTGCACAGACCCTGTGTCCTCGTTCTCCTGGGTGCACCGACCCCGCTCCATCCTTCCCTGGCTTTCATCACCCCTTTGCAGCCTGGTCGCTGCCCTGCCAGTAGTTCCTCAGCACCTAGCCGGAGCGAGGTGGGGGCTATTCCCAACCCACCAGCCTCCAAGAAGACCCTGGAGCACTCCCTCCTCCTCTGCTGCAGCCCTGCAGCCCTTGGGAACGTGCTGCGCCCTGGCGTCCCCCTTAGTCTGGGGCTCTGCCAGCCCCGATTTACGGCCAAGTCCAGCTCCAGCCCCCAGGGCTGGGAAAGTCCCGTCAGGACCAGTTGCTCTCCAGGTCTCCGTCTCTGCCGCCATGCCCCCCTCTCCCTCCCCGGACGCGGGGTCTGGCCGCGCGAGCCTGCAGGGAAGGTTACCCGGACACGTGCCGGGCGGCTCCACTGGAGTGTGAACGGCCGGTCGGTGTTTGCATTCATTACAAACCCGTTAAAAACTGGCTGGCTCAGCCCTGGGCAGGACCTGGCTCGATGTGCAGCTGATCCTCAGCCCCTGCAGCCTCCAGAGCCTTACCCCGGAGGTGTGCGCAGCGGGAGCAGCGGCCGGCTTCCCGGCATCTCCCACCTCGCCCATGGCCGAGGAGAAGACCTTCCGCTACGGTTTCATCATGCTGGGTTTCTTCCTGGTGATGACGGGAATGTTCATCATGAGCGTGGAGAAGCCCCAGATCTACATCACTTTCTGTGCCCTGGGCGTGCTGCTGGTAGCCGTGGGCATCACCTGGAGCATGTGCCAGTGTTATCCCAAGGTAGGGTCCGTCCCGCCACTGCGCACCTCGGAGGGGCTTGGACGGGTTTGGCGGGGTGGGGGTCGGCTGCTGCAGATGTGTAGCCTCAGGCTGTGCCTCAGTTTCCCCATCTGTGGGGTGGAGTAAGGGCAGGTTCCAGGGAAAAGCCAGCTGGGGCAATCCAGAGGCGGAAGCGTTGTTTTGGGGGGGCTTGCACCCTGCTATGCTTCCCTGCTGATGCCGGCAGGATGCTCCCCAAGAGCAGGGCTTTGCTTCCACGCAGGCAGCGAGGAATAGGCCCAAGGAAATCAGCCGGTGTTCGTCTATCCCATGCACCCCCCCCCCAAAACCAGCCCCTTCCTTGCACCCACAGGGGCCGTGGACTCCCAGGACTTCCAAGAAGGGGCTGTCGTGGCTATGGGGGGCTGGGGGGTTC